AACTTTCCCCCCTTAATTTTGTAGTGGGAAAGGGAATCATAGAATCATAGAATCTCAGGGTTGGAAGGGACCTCAGGAGGTATCTAGTCCAACCCCCTGCTCAAAGCAGGACCAATTCCCAACTAAATCATCCCAGCCAGGGCTTTGTCAAGCCGGGCCTTAAAAATCTCCAAGGATGGAGATTCCACCACCTCCCTAGGTAACCCATTCCAGTGCTTCACCACCCTCCTAGTGAAATAGTGTTTCCTAATATCCAACCTGGACCTCCCCCACTGCAACTTGAGACCATTGCTCCTTGTTCTGTCAGGGAGGGGTAGCCAAAAAGGGGGCATTTTCTCACAGCTTTGAAAGGAAAAACTTTGGCGTTTTTTCTGTTTTTTGTTTTGAATTTAAACAAAAAAAATTTTTTCACACAACCTTTTCTTGAAAAATGTTAACAAAACCCCATTTTCCCAAGAACAGCCTTCGACCCGCTCTAATGGGAGAGGCTCCTACTACAGTTATTCCCGTTGAGTGCAACCTGCTTCAACAATGCAGTCTCACCACCCAGCCTTTCCTGTCCTCTAGACCGAGCACTCACTTTGTATGTATTTCCAGGGATTATAGGGAGGCAGTCATTCAGATTTTTCTAAATTATTCTAAGTACGTACGTTATTTACACCAGTTGTTCCCACTTTGGGACAGGAAGCCTCACTAATAAAACAACCCTCGTCCCCCCCGCTAAATGCTGTACCTGTGTCAGGTCACGATGCTCCCGTTTTCTCAAACTTTCAGCTCCACTCCTGAGCTGACAGTCGCAGACAGTTACTAATGGAGTGTGACGCTTCACCCAACATGCAGCCATCAGAGGAGAGGCCGGCACGTCTTACAGAAGGTCTGAGTAAGGGGGTTCTCCCTGAGGAAAAAAGCAAAATGCTGCTTCTGCATCTCATTGCTTCCCACTCCTTCTGCTCTCCCCTTGAGGCAAGTTGAGGGGGGACCCAAGGGGTCACCACTGGCTCACTCCAGCCGGGGAAGTGCCACAAATGAAAGGAATTTTTCGGAAGAATGAGCGACTGTAACGGTTTTAACAAACCCATGCTCAGTTCAGGACTTCGCAGCTGTCACTCTGCCGCACACTGTCTGCACTCAGAGCTTCACGGGGCAAGCAGGGATAAAACTCAGAACTGCCTGCTCCACAAGCACAGGTCCCCGCCCCTTGGGCTAAAGGAGATTCCCCATTCGCTGTTTGCAGTATGGAGCTTATGACACACAGCTGAGCCATTCTGATTCTTTCCAATCGACAGCAGTGGTGCACCCGCTCACACACTCTCCTTTCCTCTCTCTATTAGAGTTTCACTCTGAGTTCTCATCTGGGCCTTAACTTCCCCCTTTACCGCAAGGGGTGTCCAAAATTGGGATGCCAAGGGCTGCATCTTGGCCCTTTGCCAGGGACCCCAGAAATCTCACCCACTTGCTTGGACAATAAACAATCTCCCGTTTCTCCCCCAAGACCTGCACATTCCCCCCGCCCCTCAAAAAACAAAAACCACTTGCTGCTCAAGTTCATCCAGCTCCACATGGGATGCTTCAGAAATAGCCACCTCAGGGTGCCCCAAACAGCAGCAGGGGTGACCAGATTCCCATGGACTCTCCCCTTCCACAGCAAGGAAGGCTTTGGAGTCAGGGGAGGCAGCCGGGGGAGCCTGTGGTGACCAGGATACCGGAGGGGTCGAGGCAGCGGGGAAGTCAGGCTGTGAGTCTGAGTCTGGAAGAGGGATTTGGGGATAGAGCCTGGGAAGGAGAATCCTGGGGGACAAGGGGCACCTAGGGAGATTAGTGGAGGGTTGGAGGAGAAACTGCTGCTCGGAGATGGCAGCTGGCACGTGGGCCCCTCCACAGCCAGACATCGCCTCGTGCCCTGGTGCCAAGGTGCAGGTAGCGCTGCCAGACCCTGTCCCCGAGGGAAGAAGGCAGGTTCAAATCAGGGTTTTGTCTACACTGAGTCTACACCTTGGCGCTGCTCAACGCATCAGGTTAAACCGCTTGGAGGGGCTGGTGCCACAGGGGAGCTCCCCCTCCTCCTCAGAGGGCGGGTGATCTGAGCCGCTAGCCACGGCATGTGCGTCTGCTGTTCACGTGGGCGAACATCTGGGGGCAGCAGCTGTCCGATCCCACGTGACGTCCCTCCACTAAAACCTCCCCACACAGCGTTGTTCTGCCCCCGCACAAGAAACAGCAGCGCCTCAGGCCTTGTGGGCCTTGACCATCCATGCCAGGGAGGGCTCGATTTGGCCTCCTACGGAACGTTCCGGTGACAAACCCGCCTGCTGCTTTCTATCTCTGACCGACCTCGCCTGAGGCCCATCGCCCCACTAGCTGAGCCCTGGCTGTACTATTAGCCCTCACGTTTCCACTCCCTCCTCCCTGGCTGCCTTCCTGGTGCAAAGCTGGAGTAAATGGGCTTTGGGCTCCAGCCGCTGCTCCACCTACACTGGCAAGAGCCCCGTGCCCATCCCGATCCACGAGCTAGATTCCCACCCTGCAAGAGGCACCCAACATGCCTGGGCAGATGGGCTCCTTGTGCTGCAGAGAGGCCAGGCTTGGCCTCCGAGACAGAGTCTCTGTGAGCTGCACAGCAGAACCCCCCGTTCCCAGCTCCACTGCCTTCTACCAGCAGGCACGGCGTGGCCCGGAGGTGGGGAGGGCAAGATTTGGGGCCATAAAGTGCCAGACCCAAGTCTCTTCTCTGCTTTCTGACGCACTCAGGGTTTCTGCTGCTGAAGGGAAACGGTCCCGAATACCGGCCTGGGCTGCTAGAATTGCACCACTCCGAAGCCTTTACTTGGCTAAACTCTGAGTAAAGCTGATCTGGGCCTGGACAGAACCCTCTCCAGGCGTGGTCCGAGACCGCGCAACGAACTCCTCCTGGAATCAAGGACCATTTTTCTGCTTCAGTCGCAAGGTGTGTTTCATTGACCTGCCTTCTCTAACAGGACACGTAGCAACAGATATGTTTAACTAATACAAATAATTAAAATAAACCCTATCAGGGCCGTATGTTAAAAACAAAAACAACACACTCCCCTCGATGCAAAGGGTGGGAAGAGTGGCTGTGTGACCATCAGGGGCTCGTTCACCTGCACATCTACCAATGTGATATATGCCATCATGT